AGAGTGTGGTGGGATGTTGGGATGGCCACTGGCAGGAGTGGGATGCTGGGAGGCTGTGGCAGGGAAGGGGTAGCAGGGCCCAGGGGGATGTCTCTGTCAGGGATGTGATGCCCAGGCCGTGCTCCCCACACTGAGGTGGTGCCTGTGCCCCTGCCAGGCTTGGGCAGATGAAGTACATCCTGGTGACGGGAGGAGTGATCTCAGGCATCGGCAAAGGCATCATTGCCAGCAGCATCGGCACCATCCTCAAGTCCTGTGGGCTGCATGTCACCTCCATCAAGATCGATCCCTACATCAACATCGACGCCGGCACCTTCTCCCCATACGAGCATGGTGAGTGTCCAGGGGCTGAGTTGGGAGGGTGGCCCCGGGCTGGGCCAGGGCCTTCCTGGGGCTGAGTGGGCATGGAATGACTCACATCCTTCGTGGAAGCCTTTGCACCTGGTCCTGCCTGTGGGACCCCCAGGCTGAGCCTGTTGGGAGCTCCAGAGGGTTAATGAAGCTGATGTGCCCCAGCCCACAGCAGAGATGTGCTCTCTGGTCTGTTCCTGTTGCCTGGTTGGAGGTTCAGTCCCCAGTGCTCTGTTAGTTTTATTCATCACTCCTCAACTTGCCATGGCAGCCAGAGAATGTGTTTCTTTACACTGGATTCTTCCAGCTGTACAGGGAAAGCCAACATGTTGCTGCTGTGAGCTGTTTCCCTCTGACAGATTGAGAATGTCTCTTGGTTCGGAACTGCAGGGACAGGACATGGAGCAATGGGGAGAAATTGAAAGGGAAGTTTTGATTAGGTATCAGGCAGAAGTTTTCGCTGTGAGGGTGGTGAGACACTGGCACGAGTTGCCCAGGGAGGCTGTGGCTACCCCAACCCTGTCTGTGTTCCCAACCAGGTTGGCTAAAGCCTTGAGCAGCCTGATCTGGTGGGAGGTGTCCCTGCCCAGGGCAGGGGGTTGGGGCTGGATGGTCTCTAAGCTTCATTCCAGCCCCTTAACATACTGTGAATCTATGACACTTGTGTTTGTGCCTGCCTGTGTGTGCAGGGGAGGTGTTTGTGCTGGATGATGGAGGAGAGGTGGACCTGGACCTGGGAAACTATGAGCGCTTCCTTGACATCAGGCTCACCAAAGACAATAATCTGACCACTGGGAAGATCTACCAGTATGTCATCAACAAGGAGAGGAAAGGAGACTATCTCGGCAAAACAGTCCAAGGTGATGCAGAGCTTCTTCTCTGGTGCTTAGAAGTACTTTCTGTGTTTCCATCCTGCCTGGATGCTTCTGTTTTTCATCTGCACTTGAGGCTATGCTCCATCCTGCTTGTGTTTGGGCTCAGGTCCAAGTGTCTGACATAGATCTAAACGTGAGCACACTTCAGGCTAAAACACCTGTGGGTTGTTCGTTAGCTGCTCTTTGCTTTTAACTATCATTAGAAAACTGAAGGATCTTTGAGGATCACATCAGTCCGTTCCGTTTTTAACCATCCTCCACAGCTGGTTTGCATAAGTTACAGACACAAACAGAGTAACTCTCTGCTTAGAGCAAAGAACAGTTTGTACTTAAATCCTCAGCCTAAAGGAAACGTTGCTTACATGTGTTTAAATTGAGGCAGGATTCCGTTTCCTGCCAAGGCACTTGGAAATCACAGCCAAGAATAATCACTCCAAAAATGCATGGTTCTTTAAAGACACATCCCTGCTCCAGCCATGTGGGAAGCACTGGTTAGTGCTTGTCAGTAATTTGCTCTGCAAGGAGTTAAGAGGGAGAAACGTGTGAGTTGGGGCTTTAACCCTTGCCTGGGTTTCTTTTCCAGTTGTTCCCCACATCACAGATGCCATTCAGGAATGGGTGATGAGGCAGGCACGGATCCCTGTGGATGAAGATGGCATTGAACCCCAAGTCTGTGTGATTGAGGTTTGTGGTCCTTAACAAGCAGAGAGTTTTGTTTCTTGTGTGGAGTGAACTGAACTATGTGCATATTTCACATAGGAAATTTTCTCTGCATAAAGGTTCAGCTTTGCATATTGTTGAGTTGGTTTAAATCCCCTTTGTTAGCGTGACTTATTCAATCTAGTCTCTTAAATTCTGGTCTGCAGCTTCTTCCTAAGGGACAGCACAGATCTCTGCTCTCTGGGACCTGGGACAGGATCCAGGGAATTGCTGGAGCTGTGTCAGGGGAGGGTCAGGCTGGAGATTAGGCAAAGGTTCTTGCCCCAGAGGTGTTTGGGCACTGAACAGCTCCCCAGGGCAGTGGTCACAGCCCCAAGGCTGACAGAGCTCAAGGAGTGTTTGGCCAATGCTCTCAGGCCCAGGGTGGATTGTTGGGGTGTCCTGTGCAGGGCAGGAGTTGGACTGGTGATCCTTGGGGGTCCCTTCTGACTCAGATTCTAGGAATTAGCCTATGGAATGAATTTCTGCTCTTGTAACTCTCCATGCCAAAGTCTGAGTTAATCATGCTGTGCCTTCTTCTTCCTTGATGGGTAAAGGAGAGGAGGTAAATTCCCCTCTGGAATCTGTTCTTTCCTCCTCAGCAGTAAAAGGAGCCTTGGAATGACTGATTGAAGCACAGACTTGGGGCAGGGAATGGCACAAGTTAGTGGTGACAAACCCAGTGCAGTTTGCTGAGTGTTCCTGGAACATTGTGCTGCCAGAGGAGATGGAGTAGATCGAAGGCTCCCTGACTGCTGAGCTGGCTGCTGGGACATGCTAATGCAGGAGAGGGAGCTTGTCACAGTGCCCAGGTCATGGTGACTTGGGACTCTGCCTGCAGCTTGGGTGCCAATTTCTGTGTCAGGAGCACAAGCTTGGAGCACTGAGGAGGCACTGACAAGGCCTGGGAGGCTCCAAGAAATGCCTTGTCTTCCTGCATGTGTCCAAACCCACTCTGTATAGTTCCTTAAACTTAACAGGAATTTTGCTTTTCAGAGCCACCTAATGTTCATAAATCATAATTTCAACATAGTTTCAAAGAATGTTAAGGGGCTGGAATAGACCTTAGAGATCATCCAGCCCCAACCCCCTGCCCTGGGCAGAGAAAGCTCCCACCAGAACAGGTTGCTCAAGGCTTTAACCAACCTGGCTTTGAACACTGGCAGGGTTGGGGCAGCCACAGCCTCCCTGGGCAACCTGTGCTATCTAAATCAGGTCCCTGAGGGGAGCCTGGAGGTAAAGGGAAGACTCTGGAGAGTTGCTGCTCAGAGGAGAAGTTGTTCATCTTGTGGCTTTTTGGTTTTGGGCGTAATGATAAAGTTAAAATAGTACTTGGGGTAGATTGGAGGCTGTGGAAGTAGTACCTACAGCTGGGATATCCTAGTGCTTCTCGTGGAATCTCCTGAGCTGGAAGGGACCTGCAGGATCATGAGTCCAACTCCTACTCTGCCCAGGACACTCCAGCAATCCACCCTGGGCCTGAGAGCATTGGCCTGAGCTCTGTCAGCCTTGGGGCCGTGACCACTGCCCTGGGGAAGTTGTTCCAGTGCCTAAACACCTCTGGGGGAAGAACCTTTGCCTAATCTCCAGCCTAACCCTCCCCTGACACAGCTCCATCCGTTCCCTGGGTCCTGTCACTGTAACAGAGAGCAGAGATGGAGCTGCCCCTCGGGAAGAAGCTGTTGATGCCTCTTTGGGGGATAGGGGGAGGTGCTGGGTGGGTGTTTGATTGTCTAATGTATGTGTTCATGGGGTTTAGTGTCCAAGTCCAGGTCTGGTACTAAGTGTCTGTGCCCTCCTTCCCAGCTCGGCGGCACAGTGGGGGACATTGAGAGTATGCCCTTCATCGAGGCCTTCAGACAGTTCCAGTTCAAGGCCAAGAGAGAGAATTTCTGTAACATTCACGTCAGCCTAGTTCCCCAGGTAAGGACCCAAAACCTTCTGGTGGCCAGAGGCTTCCTCAGTCCAAAATCTCCTTCCTAGATAGGTGTTCCTGCAACACTTTGTCTCCAGGCACTGTTACTGTTGTACCTCTGTGGTTGTAAACTTCTGAAAAAAAAATGCAGAGATGATGTAGGTTAAAAGGTTCACGGGGTGTGAACAGAAACTTTTCAGTGTATGTAAATGTGTAATAAAGCATTGGGAGTTTAATAATGTTTAATGAACAGCAAGTGTGGTTTTGCATCTGTAACTGCTGGGTTTCCCTATGGAATTGTCTATTTGCTTTTGCAGCTAAACTTGCTTGCCAGGGCTAGAAACCTTCCCTCCCTTTGCATGGCCATTCCTTTCACGGGGTGTGAACAGAAACTTTTCAGTGTATGTAAATGTGTAATAAAGCATTGGGAGTTTAATAATGTTTAATGAACAGCAAGTGTGGTTTTGCATCTGTAACTGCTGGGTTTCCCTATGGAATTGTCTATTTGCTTTTGCAGCTAAACTTGCTTGCCAGGGCTAGAAACCTTCCCTCCCTTTGCATGGCCATTCCTTTCTGCAAAGCCAGTAGAAACACCAGACCTCATGGGCATCAGTACTCACTGATAAGATATCATATTCCAAGCTCTTCTTGGAGTTCTTTAATATCTTTGTTGCTGTTTGCTTTCTTCTTCCCCCTACAAGATGGGCATTTGTTGCTCATGGAATGCATTGGGTTACTTTTGAAATTTCAAATGTCAAACTATGTTTTGAAACATAATCTGTTTCTTTTCCCTGTGTCTTTTGGGTAATTTCATAGACTCCCATGAGCCATAACTATCTGAGTGGCTGTTGCCTTGGTTCAGAGATTAAACTAAGAAAAGCTATTGTGGTGCTTTGATAAGAATCAGTTCATTAGGAATCTCAAAGAAAACAAAATATCCTTGTGTGCCAAGCAGGTGGGTGAACTCCAGTTGATATCCAGAGCATTTGAAGGGGGTTTATGCCATATAATGCCTGATATAAACTCAGCTGTATTATCTGTTTTGGTTTTGGAGATAATTTACAGTCTTAACTAAACAAAATAATCTCTACTGCAGGAGCCACTGCTGAAAAAAAATTCTGCCACGGTAATGTTAAGAGTCTGGGAGAGCCTGAGCATTCCTTGTATTGGAACTGGATTTGACAGCAAATTGATAGTTACTGGAGTGCAGATCAACCTTTGTTCTCTTCTTCTCTCTTTCCCCTTCTGTTCAGTCCAGGTGATTACAGAGAAAAATTAGCAATATGAAACATTAGGTATTTGGAGGGAACACTGGATGAACCTTAGGCTCTCTCCCTCCCTCAGCCCAGTGCAGACCTGACTGGGCAGACTGGAACTCTGCCACTTGCCTTCAGTCTTGGAGATTGAAGTGGAGTGCACTGGGGGATCCATAGGAATTGTCCAAGAACTGAGTCAAAGCTTTTCCAAGATGAACAGGGTGGGCAGTCCCAATTAGCCTGATGAATCATTGCTGCATATCGTCATAACCTGATATACCAACTCCTCTCTGAGCAGCCAAGCTCCACAGGAGAGCAGAAGACCAAACCCACCCAGAACAGTGTTCGTGAGCTGCGAGGCCTTGGTCTCTCACCAGATCTGGTAAGGCTCAATTCAGAAATGCACTGCTGGCACATTGCAACAGCATCTTTGTCTCAGTATTGCTCAGGTTGGGAGCTTTTGTGTGTTGCTGATAAATAAGGAGAAGTGGCTGAGGTGTTTTTCCCCAAGTCACAGACTGCAGCACGACAGCTCCTTTAGAGACTTGTTCTAGGCATGTCTGAGAACTTCTGTTTTGCTTCACCGCCCTGATGTTGCTGCTCTGTTAGATTGTTTGCAGGTGCTCCACTCCACTGGATACCTCAGTGAAAGAGAAGATTTCCATGTTCTGTCATGTTGAACCAGAGCAGGTAAAGATTGCTGTCTGCACTGCCTTGGTATAAATATTGCAGCTGCTTGTCAGACACTGAGGAGGTTTGTCTGAGGGTAGCAGTTTGTGTTAGCTGCATAATTCATTGGCTGCTTTGTCTTACCTTCCTTACACAGGGACCTGGTGCAAAACCAGTCCTGTTTGTGCCAGCTCCCAGGTTTGCTTATAAGGTAGTTAGTTAGGCTTAGAGAGTTCTATGGAACCCAGAGTAGTTCCTGAGCAGCTGTTTTGACCTTAGTTATCCTTTCGCATTCCTCCTGTGAATATATGAGAATGGCATTTTCTAGCATTTAGAGGCCAAAGAGTTGCCCAAACTGAGGTTTAAAGGATTCATGACTATGTTGTACACTGCTCTTCTCCCAGTGTTACTGCCCAGCATTTCTCGAGAGATTGCACAGAGAGGCTGAACTGGTGTTTGAGGGAAGCATTGCCTCACTTGAATGTTATGTGACGTGCACAAATCCACGTTACCATGATTCTTTTTGTCCTGAGACACCTCACAGTCTGAGGTGGACCTTGGAAAGTAATCAAACAGTCTCTAGGCTGAATATTGGCGCTTTCCAATCCAGCTGGAGCTTGAAGAATTTTCTGCAAGACTGAGCGTCACTTCACAATCCCAAGTGCTGGCAAGTCACTGTTATTAATGTGCTCTACAGCAAGACCAAACCTGAGTGCTGCAGGGTGAAGTAGTACAGTCAGGATTAGCTGGCAGTGCTGTTGGTGTGCCATCAGCACAACATCTACCTCTTGTTGGGCAGCAGTTCAAAATTAGTTGGCTCTTGCCAGTCACTTTCCAGGAAGTTTAATGCAGCTCTGTGGAGTTGTTGGTCTGACTGCAGTCAGTTCACTGGGGTTGGGAAGTAAAGAGCATTGGCTGTCAAGGAGGGAAATGTGCAGCCAAGGGGCTTTGAATCGTGCTTTCATTTCAGTCAGGAGAAATGAGGATGTAAAAATAGTTGTGCCAGTGTGTTTTTGATCCTTAAAGCACAGCCTCACCTTTGATGGACAGGTGACAGTTGTCCAGAGCCATTTTTCCAAGGAAACCCATTTCAGTGAGCCACAGCTGTTGATGTGGATTTTCCTCGTTAACCTAAGAATTCTTTGCTCATAGTTGTTTAAGCCTAAATTTGCTGAAGGACACCCTGCAAAATACATTGCTGCACTGGGGTCACAGGTTTCCCTGGGCTTAAATTAGCATGGGGGCCTGGTTAGGAAGGACAGGGGTGAGAAGTGAGAATCTGGGCCTGGGGCAGTTTGGCTGCAGTTCCAGCTGGGATTCTGTGTCACAGGAGGAATCTCTTTGCAGTGTTCTTTGAACTTCGCTGTGTGCAAGTCTAGCAGCTGAGTCCTGCTGCTGGGTTACTGTGTGACAGCCCTTCCCAAGGAGCTCCAGGGAGCAGCAGTGCCTGGGAAGTGCTGAGGAATGGCCTTTTCAGGCATGTGGAAACTAGTATTGCACTGTTAAACGTGTTGCTGCCTAGTGCACATAATGGTTGAGCCTTAGGTGCTCACGTGGTTGTCTGGTAGGGATAGAAACACTCTGAATATCTGTCTAGAAATAACTGCCCAGGCCCTGGGTGTCTGTGTTAGTGACCAGTGTGTTTTGTGACAGGTCATCTGCGTTCATGATGTTTCTTCTATCTACCGAGTGCCTCTGTTGTTAGAGGAACAGGGAGTTGTTGACTACTTCAGGCACAGGCTGGACCTTCCCATCGAGAGGCAGCCCAGGAGGATGCTCATGAAGTGGAAGGAGATGGCTGACAGGTGAGCTGCACCCCTGCCTGCAGTTGGAGTTAAGGCTGTGGATTGATTTCTCTTCTTGCTTGTGAGGCCATGAGTGTTACTTTCTTGTTCCTTGAGTGTTCTTATATGCTCATGTTTTTCTCTTTGCTCATAGCTTCATCCAAACCTTGAAGGTTTACAGGGCTGGGGAATCCACAGCTCCTCTGGGCAGCCTGTGCCAAGGCCTCACCACCCTCATTCCTTACATCTAGTCTAAATCTGCCCTTTTTGAGTTTAACACCATCTCCCCTTGTCCTAGCACAACAGGCTGCACTAAACAGTCTGTCACCATCTTTCTCATAAACTCTCTGGCTGAAAGGCTGCCACAAGGTCTCCCTGGAGCTTTTTCTTCTTCAGGCTAAACCACCTCAACTTTCTGAGCCTTTTTTCATAAAACCCTGTAAGATAAATTTACTGAGCTCCTTACCCTGTGTCAGTAGTGAACTGTCTGTGTCAAACCCAGGAATTAAAGCTGGACAGCTCTGCCCTCCCTTGTACAAAACCCCTCAGTGACATCAGGAGTGTCAGTGAAGTACCTCTGAGTGTGTTTGCAGGCAAGGGACAAGTACCTGTTCAGTCTGAGACTCCCAGAACACTCTGGTTTGTTTCTTGTAGGGAACAGACTCCCTCTTTGTAGGGA